GAGACCCTGAGCCAGAAACACCCGCTAAGCCACACGCAGATGTCCGCCCCTCTGAGAGGAGGTGGCAGCGTGTTGTGTTAGGCCCCTGGGCTTTGGTGTAGTTTGTCAGAAGTAGAGCCAAATAGAATTACGAGTTTAAGTCACACTGTTTACGAAACACAGTGAGGTTCACAGCCTGGGAAGCTGGTGTGCAGCTGGGTGTGAGGGCTCATGCACCACCACGGGTTGCATGAGAGTGTGTTTTTGGAGAGAGGGCCCAGAGCTTTCCTCACTGAGCCGAGGTTCAGAACTGTTGTGGTAAAGGATGGGGTTTTGAATTAGCACAAAGTGGTCAGATTTTGGGCAAATGAATTGAGCAGTCTCTTCTCAAAATAAGTATAGATGGCTAATAAGTACATGAAAAAATGCACATCTGTAGCTATAAGAGAAATGCAAATCAAAACTACATTGAGATGCTATTTCACCCCAGTCAGAGCAACTATCGCGAAGAATACAAAAAACAATCAATGCCGGTGAGGCTGTGGAGAAAAAGGAGAATTTCTGTGCTGCTCTCGGGAGTATGACTTAGAACAGCCATGATGGAGATCAGTATGGAAGTTCCTCAAAAATTAAAATTAGGACTGCCATGATTCCCGGTACCAATAAAATAAATAAAACACTACCATATGGTTATGCCACTCTTTGGTACCTGAAGAAACAAAAGTAACTTACTAGGGGGGTCAACCTGCATGCATACGTTTATCATAGTACAACCTACAGGACAAATACAAAACCAGCCTAGGTTTCATCTCCGTACTTCAGGAGGCTGAGGCAACAGGATTGCAAGTTCTAGTTCAGCCTGGAAAATGTAGCAATTTAATGAGACTGTCTCAAAGTAAAAAGGGCTTTTTGGGGGTGTAGTTCATGGTGAAGGCTCTGGGTTCAGTCCCCAGTACAGCAAAAAATAAAAACAAACAAAAAGGAGGGAAAAGCATCACAGTGAAAACCAATATTTTGAAAAGCTAATAGACACTAATAAAAATATATCACAATATAAAATCAGATTTTTTTGTTTTTTGAGACAGGCTCTTGCTATGTAGTTCAGGCTGGCCTTGAACATCTCAGTATTCCTCCTGCCTCAGCCTCCTACGTGCTGAAATCCCAGGTTGTGCACAGGCCCAGCTGTGACCTGCACAGATGCCAGGTGATGGAGAAGGATCCAAGGTCACAAAGTCATCATGGCACAGATAGATACCCTGGGACCACAATACCAAATCTCAAAATACTAAATTATGGAGGCTATTTCCTGGACCTCAAGGCCACCCATCGCCACAAGAAGATTCTCCCAGGAAAGAGAAAGCATCCTGACTCAGCCAGCCACCTGGCCCTTGACCTAGAAATGACTCAGAGAGGAGTGGGTGAGAAGAAAGGGCCACCCTCTATTGGCAGGGCACCAACAGGGTACAGGGCACCAGGAGCCATGCAGTCCCTGGTGAACTTGTGTGCTCAGCAGAGAACACACCAACTCATCCTCTGGTGAAATCTCCACCACCTCCAAGAGCACTTCAGATTCCCATCCAGGAGACATTGCCAAACACCTGTGCTGGGTGCTGGGCTTCTGGGGTGAAGGAGGAACCATCCCTGCTGTGTAAGGTGGGGTAGGGGTGGGGGCCCAGCTAGCTGAGGTCCGGTGATGTCGGTGATCCTGAGAGGAAGCACTGCCCAGGAGAGGCCAGAGTCTGAAGAAACTGTCACTGCACTGAGCCCCTGGGGAAGGCAGGCGGGGGCACTCCAGGGGGACAGCATGTTCCCAGCGCCAGGGTGTGGGAAACAGTGTGTTCCGGGCATGGCCAGGCTAGTAACAGGAAGCAGGGTGCAGGGACAGAGGGGCTGGGTGGGCCACGTCAGCTGTGCCAGGAGGGAAGGCCAGGCACTGACCTCTTCAGGAGAGGCATGGCAGATGAGGTTAGAGTTGGAGAAAGATCCTGTGACACAAGCCCAAGGCTGGTCAATAGCCTGGGATGACCAGGTGAAAATGAAGGGGCAGAGATACTCCTAAGGGACTCAGGAGAACTTGTTTTAGGGGATGATGGAATATTCTAGAACTTAAAAGAATATTCTAGAACTAGTCAGTGCTAATGGTGGCCAACATTATGAATATGCCAAATATCATTAATAATGCATTTTATACTACTTGTATTTTATCACTTTGTTTGGCCTGGGAACATTATGTAGTCTTGAGCTTGAATTCACTCGATTTGCCAGGCTGGCCTCAAACTTTCCATCCTCCTACCTCAGCTTCTTGAGTGTTGGAATCTCAGCCATGCACAACCATGCCCAACTTTATAATTTTTAGAAGACTTATTTGAAAGGATATGAAAGTTAAATCTGAAAGATGAGATTCCTGAATTAGGTTCCCGCCCCCCAAGAGGAAATGATGATAAGGGACGAAGACAAAGTCCCAGGGGTGCAGCTGGGGGTGAGGGACCCAGAAGAAGAGGAAGAGATGCAGCTGTTGGCCTCGGGGGGAGCCTAAGGCTCAGGAACCCGGAGATGCACCAGGAGAGGGGATGTGGATAAGCAGAGAAGCGAGGTCCTGGGGTGAGGGAGGGACAGGCTCCAGCCCAGGTGGAGCACAGGCCCCAGATCAGCCAGGAGGAAAGCCAGGAGGATGGGTGGGGAGGCAGATAAGCCTGCAGCCAGGGCCAGGCAGGAAGCGGAGGCAGTTCCCTCCAGACTGTTTTCTAGGTGAAGGTGGAGCTGAAGTCATCTCCTGAATTGCAGTGTGACAGGCTATGGTCGGGTGGAGCTGAGGGGCCCAGAAGGCTGCAGATAGGAGGGGAAAGAGTGGGAACACAGCCAGGCGCACTGGCCAGTCAGGCACCACCCCTCACTGCCCCCGCACGGAATCTAAATGCCACCGTGGGTGGCGAAAGAAAGGAAACCCCGAACCCTGCTAACCCCTAGTGTTGACACTGCAGGGGCCTTGTGACCTCTGGCGCTCAGTTCCCTGCGTGTACTATGAAGCGGGGGCCTGAGGAGCCGGCAGAGACTGGCCCTAAGATCCCCAGGAAGAGAGCGAGCGGCTGACCTGCTGCTTGAGGTGGAGAAGTAGACAATGGCAATGCTGGAAAACCGAGCAAGCGGAGCCAGAGAGCAGGAGCCCCAACCCCACTGCATGTTTGCAAAGCAGGATCCGGTCCTGGGGCACAGTCTGGACAGGAGCCGGAGGTGTGTGCCTGGAGTGGACCTTAATTCATCTCTGCAGGAAAGTTACCTCCTTTTACCCGTCAACCTCACAGGCACTCCAAGCCTTAGGTTCTGTGATTGCCTCAATTTTACATGGGAGAAAAGCTCAAAGAGGCAAAGCCAAACTGTACCAACGACAGGAGCCAGGCCTCTGGCCCCAGCTGGTTGGTCAAGATTTGGGTAACAAACCAGTCATGCCCCGGGCCTGTGAGATGGAGTGGGATGACTTGAAAATAATGCATCTCCTGCCTCCACCAGTTGCCAGGGTGGTCACATCCCCAAGGAGGCACATGGACGTTTGAGCAGGGACTCCTGCAGGTGAGGAGCCACGTTGCAGCCGCCCTGCCCTGTGCTTCCTGAGGCCACAGCTCCAACCTCAACTCAACCTAGGATTGTCCACAAACTTCTCCCAAGAGCTGTACTATTTGCCTGCAAACCAGCTGGTCCTCCTCTAGGCCAACTGAAGTGACTTCTGACAAGGGGTTCACGTCCTCTGGTCTCTCCCTCCATTCACAACCCCCAGCCCTTCTTTTGTGCAATTGCAAATAAAGCAGAACAAAACCCTCTTATTTCAAAATGAAAGTTCATACTCATTCAGCTCTAAAGCAGATGACAAGCCAGGCTTCAAAGACAGGCGGCACCCCCTTCCTGTGTGGGAGCGCAGTGTTACAGATTCAACTGTAGCCTCACAGGTGGATGAAAATGAGAATGCAGTACTTCTTAAAAATCATTCTGGAGGAAAAAAAATTGTAGTACCAATTTCAAAGTTGTTCTGTTTTCATGGCTCTGACAAATTGATTTGGTAGTTAAAATAATTGGGAGGAAAAAAAAACAGAAGATATTATCAAAAACAAAAGTAGGAGCCAGGGATGGTGGTGCACACCTGTAATCCCAGCACTTGGGAGCCTGAGGCAGGAAGATCACTGTGAGTTTGAGGCCAGTCTGGAATCCCTAGTGAATTCAAAGTCAGCCCAAACTGTATAATAAGACCTTGTCTCCCCAAAATCAAACCAAACCAAACAAAAACACAAATAGGCTGGGTAAGGTGGCACATGCCTGTAATCCTGGCACTTACGAGGCTAAGATTGGGTTACCATATGAGTTTAAGGCCAACTGGGCCACATAATGAGTTTAAGCCCAGCCTGAACTATACGGTGAGAGTCTGTCTCAAAAATAAAATAAACATGGGGAGCTGGGCATCGTAGCGGACATGCCTACAATCCTAGATACTCTGTGAGGCTGAGGCAAAAAAAAAAAAAAAAAAAAAAAAATCACAAGTTTGAGTACATCGTAGGCAACTTAGCAGTATAGCAAGATCTTGTCTCGAAAATTGAAAAGGCCCTGGAGATGCAGCTCAGCGCAAAAGTCCTGAGTTCAGCCTTTCCTACCACCCAGAAATAAAAATTAACCATCAGGGAGGAGGCAGAATAGTAAAAAACAATTTACAATAGTACAAACACAAACAGATTATAGAATCACTAGCTTCTTTCCAACTGCCCAGTTCCAACAAACGCCAGTCCACCAGGGTCTAGAAAAAAGTAGATTCTGAAAGGCACTTCTGAACATTTGGAAACGCAGCTTCTAAAATGCACTGAGTAGAACGTGGCTTAGATCAAGCGTTGTTGTTTTAAGTTCTTCTAAAGAAGACTCCCAACTGGGATAAACTATCCCATTGGAGAATTTTCCTCCATTTTGATAGACATCAACCCCAAACCATTTTGCACAAGTTTTAGGAATTACAGAAGACAAGAGAGAGGAACATCGTAACTTACAGTTTCCATGACTCTCAAGGCTCCGACCTGGAAGAGACAGAAGAAATCTGTTGGTTTCAGAAGCTCAGTGCTCAGGAAAGGAAAAGGCAGCGGGGACAGGGACAACTCACAGAGCAACAGGGTCAGCAGGGCCGCCAGCCACATCGCGCTCCTCTGGTCCCACACCGGGGGCATCCTGAAAGCAAAGGCTGCCCGGCACACTCAGTCCTGCCTTTGGGCCATGCCTTGAAAATAGTTTCCAGGAGCCGCCAATGAGAAACCTGCTTGGTGAAAAGCAGAAACAATTTGGTAAGTGCTCCAGGCGCCCCAGAGAGACCTTCTGTGGTGCTGGTCAGGTAATGGCGGCCATTGCTTGGGAAACCCAGAACAATGAGACCTGGGCTGGGCTGATATCTCCTCAGGAAATGACTGGCCTTCCTGAGGGACCACTGAATGCAGTTGCTTTGTTTAAGGAAAGAAAAAAAAAAGCACAAGTGACATTTATCTCCCTATTCTTGACTCTCCCTGTTTTGTCTGGATTAGGGATCTCCTTCTTGTGGCCGGTGAAGGCTTTTTTTTTCTGTCTCCAGCCCCCACTCAAAGTGTTTCCTTACTGGACACTTACCAAGGTCTCCCTGCCTTTCCCTTGTCCCCCTCCCCAAAGGGGTCCTCTGCACAGTCTAACCTGGGCCTCCTGCTTTTCTGAACTGACTTTTCCAAAACATCATGGAGTCCACCACAGAGGTTGGAAGGCAGACTCAGGGGGCTCCCTCTGGCTTGTGCAGTGCCCTCACCACTTAGAGACCTTCTTCTAGTCTTGGTCCCAAACACACACTCACTGTACCGGGCCACAGAGAGTTTTCTAAACTATAAATCAGGTTCTTCCACTTCCCTGTTTGAAACCCCATCATTGTGCTCCAAAAAATGTTGGTTTGTGACCCTCCCATATTGGCCCTCAATTATCTTCCCAGCTCGGACCCTCATCATACTTTTTTTCCTCAATCTACACTTCAGTGGCTACAATGTAGTTTTCAGAATGCATTGGTGCCTTTCCTAATCCTGTTCACTGGGGCCACAGGGCTCAGTGGCATGAGCACCTGCCTGGCTAAGGGTAAGACTCTGAATTCGATTCCTGGTACAAACAAAACAAAACAAAACAAAAACAAAAAACTAACCAACTCGGCTCATCTACTTCAAGGGTCCTTTTCTTCTGTGAGCTGAATGCTACAATCCCTTCTAACTCACTCCAGGAAGGTTTGCCCGGCCTCCGCTGCCCCAGCCGCCCTTCCTCTGTGGCCCTTACCTTCCCGGTCTCCCCGTCAGAGATCTCTGTGGCAGGCTCCAGAGACAGGTCCTCCCGGATGGGCTACTTCCCCCTGATGGCAGGGCCACTGCTGGGTCCTAGAGTATGATCAGGAACACCAGTCAGAGGGCTGTGACCATCCAGACGATGAGGGGAAGTCACTACACCAGCCCAACTGTGTCATCTTTGCCCCGAGGGTGCCATGTTCTTTCTGAAACACCTCCCTCTGCTACAGGCCTTCTTCAAGGAAGACACTTTCCAACAGCAGAAAAGAAGAGCCAGACTTGTCTGCCTCAGGGCAAGCACCGAGCAGGAATGGTTTCCAGTAAGCAGATAACCCTATCTGGCAGTTCAGTGCAGGTTGTGAGAAAGGCTGTTGAGGGACACACTTACCTCACTTATTCCTTGAGAATTTTTTTTCTGTGGTGCTGTTTAGGGTTGTTGCTGTGGTTTCCCATTCCCCATGTCCCACTGTAAACTACTGTCTTCTTTGGAAATCTATTAGAAACTATTCCCACCCATATTCAGGTATGGTGGCACACGCCTGTGATCCCATGATTTGGGAGGCTGAGGCAGGAGGATTGCCATGAGTTCAAAGTCAGCCTGGGCTACACAGTGAGTTCAAGGCCAGCCTGAACTACATGGTGAGACTGTCTTAAAAATTAAATTAGGAAGGAAGGAAGGAAGGAAGGAAGGAAGGAAGGAAGGAAGGAAGGAAGGAAGGAAAGATTCCTGTCATCTAACCAAACGCTGAGTGGTAAAGGAAAAATGTGGAAACATTTTGCTACCTCACTGGCAGCAAGACTGCCTCAGCCTCCTGAGTGCTAAATGTAAACAGTTTGAAAAGGAGAAAAATTATATCCTATAATTCCTAGCATACACTAGACTGATTTTCCAATAACCAAATATCTGAGCATTCAACCATTTTCTTAAAAAACATGTTTGCGCTGAACAGCCCACGCTGGCCACGAACTCCAGCTCCTCCTGTCTCGGGCTCCCAGGTAATTAGGATTACTGTACCCACTATCCCTGGCTTTGGGTTACAAATTTTTGATCCCAAAATATGTCCTTTTTCCCTTTCCAAAAAGTGAACCAATAAAAAGACTGAGTCCCAAATGAACACTGTAGGAAACGTTGGGCCAAGAACAGCAGGAAGCCAGGCGTGGTCACTGATTCACACCTGTAATCCCACCTGCCGGGGAGACTGAGTCAGAAGGATGGCAAGTTTGAGGGCAGCCTTGAAACTTGTGATGTCGCTCGATGACAGAGTGCTTGCTCAGCATGCACTTGGAGAGGCCTTGGAGTGCTCTCTGCCAGAGAGAAAGAGCTCACAAATCAACTTCTTTGGGGAGAGGGAGAAATGGAGGGGGGCGACAAGAAGACCCAGAAATGCGGTCTGTGTATGTGTTGGGCACATAGTTAGACACTGTGGGCTTGAGGGGTGGGGCCAGGGGCTGAGGGTCCAGAACAGCACGCTTTGCCAGTTACAGTTACAAAGAAACAAAGACTTCACTATGTCATCTATTTATAATAATTTGTTAGGTCTCAGACCTAAAGCAAGAGCACAATGACACCTTAAGGCTACACACTGTGCACATTCATTCTGCTATCTGGCCACCTAGTCATCTAATTCCAAAACAAGGCTGTATCTTCCTCATCACTCAAATGGAATTGACAGGAACAGATATATTTCTACAGGCTGTGCTCCTGCCTTTGAATAAACAGGAAGTAAAACAGGCCCAAATCACAGCAAGAAGGCAACCTGCTAAGGAAGTGGCTTTTCTGAGCAGCTGAGTGTAGAGCGGGGCTTAGGGAGAAAAGGTAGAGCGGGCAAGCACAGACGCTCCAGTTACAGGTGTCAGAGAACGAAGGCCTCCATCTGTTTCAAGACTGTGGTGATCAGAAATAAGAGCCTCAGGATTTCACCCCGCCTTGTCCATGGGTCTTTTTTTTTTTTTTTTTTTTTTTTATTTAAGAGGAAAAAGAGAAAAACACAAAACAAACCAAAGCGGCGTAAGGGTACACGCAATACAGAACTACAAAACAAAACAAAACAAAACAAAACAAAACAAAACAAAAAACCATAACAGTAAGAAATTACCTGCTAGTAGATTACACACTATTTTCTTGAAAATAGTTCCTCAAATCACAGTATCAAAGAACACAAGGTGGACATTCAAACAGGGAGACTGCAAACAGCTGTGTTCAATGTTCCAAAAACATTGATAAAGTCAGCTATTTAACACCCCCAAACACACTTGCTGTTATAACCGTTAGAGCTCCTTTTCTTTTTTTTTTTTTCCCTCTCTTTTTTACAACAAAATTTACACATCTTGGATTTTATTACTCCTTAGTGCTTATTACTTTCTTTGGGGGGGGGGGAGAGAATACAGTCAAATATGGCAAAACAAAGCTGTCAGTCAATACCAAGGATAGACGTAGCACATGGTGTAGAACAGAGTACAAGTTTATCAACAATGGTTATCAACGTTGTCCCTTGTTTCCTTAAAAAGAATTGTCTATCTCATTAGATATTATAAAGTTGGACAAAACAGTAGAGAACAAGACCAATAAAACTTAGGCATTGTAAACATTACAGGACTTCCAAAGAAGACAATAGTCAAACCAGAATGGGTATCTTAGTGAATCTTATTGTCTTCAAAGTAGTTGCCTATGTCTTCAAACTTGATACTATCATATAGAATGGAACAGAGTCTAATCAGTCAAAACAAGATCGTGGGAGTACTACAGGACTTCAAAACAAGTTAATAGGAAATCGAAAAGAGTTACTATTTATATACCCTAATTTTTTTGAATTTTTTCTTTAATTAAGACAAACATAAGAAATGACTAAATAATTTTTTTTGAAACAATAAGGGGGAGATTGAGATAAAACAGGACATAACAATATAACAATAGAGGTCACAGCATGACTGTTTCAATAACCTAGTACTTCACCACCTTATAACCTGACTTAATAGTAGTTACCATAGTGTCTTTTTCCTTGAAATATTTGGGTAAAACTTCATATACTCTAGCTTCAAATATTTTCATATCAAGAAGCCCAGAATAAAGCCTTTCTAATTAATGAGTGAAAACTTTATAAGGCTTCAAGGCCACCTAATGGGGAATCATGATTACCACATTTATATATTTGAATCATTACTTACATTAGGGAAACTATTCAGTATTCACACATGCGAGATTGATTTATTTCACTTATGAGTATGGTCTCAAGCTGTGCCCATTTATTGATAAATATCTCAATGTGATCCTTCTTTATAGCTGAATAATACTCCATTGTATAGAAATACCACAACTTTTTTATCCATTCCTCAGTTGATGGGCACTTGGGTTGTTTCCAAGATCTGGCGATTACAAATTGTGCTGCTATAAACATAGGTGCACATATATCACTGTGGTATGATGCTTTCAGTTCTTCTGGGAATATGCCTAGAAGTGGAATAGCTGGAATAAATGGGATTTCCAGTCCCAACTTTTTGAGAAATCTCCAGACAGATCTCCACAAAGGCTGTACCAGTCTACACTCCCACCAGCAGTGCAGGAGAGTTCCTTTTTCCCCACAGCCTCTCCAGCATTTGTTGTCGGTTTTCTTGATCCTGGCCATTCTTTCAGGAGTGAGATGGTATCTCAGTGTGGTTTTAATTTGCATTTCTCTAATGACCAATGATGATGAGCATTTTTTCATGTATTTATTTGCCATTTGCATTTCTTCATCTGAGAATTGCATATTCATCTCAGATGCCCATTTTTGGATTGGATCTTTGAATTTCGGAGGTCTGAGTTTCTTTAATTCTTTATATGTTTTAGACAAGAGGCCCTTGTCTGAGAGAGAGTTCACTAAAATCTTTTCCCAGTTTGTGGGTTTTCTTTTCACTATGCTGGAGATTTCTTTTGACATGCAGAAACTTTTTAATAAGAAGTGGTCCCAGTTACTGATTCTGGGAAGTATTTCCCGTGCGGTTTGAGTCCTGTTCATGAATTCTTTACCTACTCCTATGTCTCCAAGGTTTCTACCTATTTTGTCTTCCAATAGATTTAGTGTTTCTGTTTTAATATTCAGATCTTTGACCCATTTAGATTTTAATTTAGTACATGGTGATAGACATGGGTCTAGCTTTAGTTTTCGGCAAATGGAGAGCCAGTTTTTCCAGCACCATTTATTAAAGAGACTGTCGTTCTTCCAGTGAACCTGCTTGGCTCCTTTATCAAAAATAAGGTGGTTGAGTGTGTTCGTAGTTGTGGTTGTATCTTCTAATCTATTCCACTGATCTTCAGCTCTGTTTTGATTCCAATACCATGTTGATTTTACTACTGTTGCTTTGTAGTATAACTTCAAGTCAGGGATTGTGATGCCTCCTGCTTTGTCTTTGCTGCTTAGAATTGCCTTTGCGATTCTAGGTCTCTTCTGGTTCCAGATGAAATTTAGGAGTGATTTCTCTAGATCTATAAGGTATGTTGATGGTATTTCTATTGGGATTGCATTGAATCTGTATAACAGTTTTGGGAGAATGGCCATTTTCACAATGTTTGTTCTTCCTATCCATGAGCAAGGGATGTCTTTCCATTTTCTGAGATCATCTTCAATTTCCTTTTTCAGTGTATTATAATTTTCACTGTATAAGTCTTTCACTTCTTTCGTAAGAGTAATTCCTAAATATTTCATTTTTTTGCTTGCTAATGTGAATAGTCCAGTTTCTCTTATTTCCCTCTCTGTAATTTTGTTGTTCGTGTATAGGAATGCTATTGATTTCTGAGTATTGATTTTGTATCCAGCCACATTACTGAATTTATTTATTGTATCTAAGAGTATTTCAATGGAGTTTAGGGGGTCTTCTATGTAGAGTATCATGTCATCTGCAAACAATGATAATTTAACTTCTTCTTTTCCTATCTTTACCCATTTTATTTCTCTTTCTTGCCTAATTGCTCTGACTAGTACTTCCAGTACTATATTAAATAGGAGTGGTGATAAAGGACATCCTTGTCTTGTACCCGATTTTAAAGTAAAGGCTTTCAATTTTTGGCCATTTAGTATGATGCTGGCTGTTGGTTTGTCATAAATGGCCTTTATTAT